CTTCAACATTGCAAAAACTTCATATGTGCCAGCTTTTTCTCTCTTGCCATCCTCTTACCTCATCATTGCAGCAATCACTCTTCTTTCTTACACCCATCCTCCTATGCCCACAAACCTCTGCTGCACACACTAACACTGCACTCTTAAATCTTCCTCCATGCCTCCTCTACTCCTCTTTCATTATCTGTACCCTCTCAAGCCCATCTTTCTCTCAGTAGTTGTTTATACTTTATGTTATCTCATTTTTTAATGTATTAGCTTTTTCTTCTCTGTTACTGATGACATTTTCCTGGTACCTCATCTATATCTTATATTCACTCTAGATACTACTAAATTATGATCTTGTATATATTTCATCACTCTGAAAACATGCACATCCAGAAGTCTGCCAGTCAACCTTTTATCTACTAATACGTAGTCAAACTAGCTGCTATCCTCACACCCTATATTATATCTTGTATACTTTAGATTCACTATTCTTAAAATACCTATTACCAAATCTTTCTTTTTATAGTTCAATTAGTGGCTCCCCGTTATCATTCATTCCATGACTCCACACTTACCTAATATACCCTCTATTATAATTTGTCCTACTTTTGCATTTAGGTCCCCAATAACAGTTATTATCTTAGCTCAAAATGCCCTAAAAACTTAGTTAACACCTCCCATAACCAGTCTATTATTCACTCTCCTCTTCTCTAGGTTTATAAACACTTATTATTATCTACTTTTCACATCTCCCATACTTTAATCCACAATTCTTCATGTTATACATTTATATTCCTTCTTTTTCTTTCCATTATTGATCATTTATTATTGCTGCTGCTCCAGGATATATAAATCTAGAGTGAAGGGAAGAAGGGACAGGAGCCATCCCAGGAAAGGCTGGAGAGAGGGATGTAAAGTAGGTTTAGAAAGATTGGGGCTTGATCATCCAACAGGCTTGTGTGAGCACATTAGATTCGAGTAAAACTAAGTGGTTGTTTTGACTTGATGTGTTGAAGTGTGAACAAGGTAGTATTTATGAAGGGATTCAGGGGAAAATGGTTAGCTGGACTTGAGTGTTGATGATGGGAAGTAAAGTGCCTGCACTCTGAAGGGGTGAGGATATGTATTGCAGTTCAGAGCACCATCTCTAACTGAAATGTCAGGACACTTGGCAAGAGAGTGATTGAGTAAATGATGGTGAGTATGTTTTCTCTATTTCTTTAAGTCACCATGCCTCAGTGGGTGACATCCAGAATTCAAAACAATCTTAGGTAAGAGAAATTAAAGAAATTACAGCTACTTTTTTCCTTCTTTGAGTCAAATTTAATACCCTTTCACTGTTGAGATCCCTGCTCACAAACTTGCTCCCAATGTTGAAGAATTTAAAAAAAAAAATTTTCTTATGACATCATAGAGAATCTTTTCCTGAAGGAAATGAAACCAAAAGTACAAAATTTGATGGAAAACGTATGCATTGGTGATTTTGCCCACTTCAAGCCCTATTTTGGGCCAATTCCATTGTTCTAGTTGACCAAACTCTTAGGTATTTTGCTAGTACTCCATTTATTCTATCAATCAAGTAAAAGAAACTGCCCAGTTACCTATTTCATTTACCCAATAAAGTAATCAGAAATTAGTAATTTGGCTAATTTCACACAAAATTCAAGAAAAACCAATTTCAGAATAGGGTCCAGAATAAACAATGCAGACATACTTGGCACTAAAATATCATTTTCTCTGTTCATTAGTCACATCTCCAGGCCCCTCTTATATTATTCTTGCTTTCCCTTTTTAATTTGATCTACCTTCTCGCCCAGCGCTCCGAATATTTTGAAAAATAAAAATTTTTTTTTTTTTTTTAATGAAGAGGACATTTTTTTAAATAATGTAAAAAAAAATTCTAGAGTCAGTACTTAGAGATATAAGGCAGCAAAATTGGCACTTGTCACTCACCTGACGGCAACATTAAGCGCTGTCACTTGCAGATGTGTTGCCGATATACCTTTTTACCTCATTTTTTTTTTAATTTGTATAATTTTTATGTTCTGATAATGACAATTTGTAGTAGTTCTTGTGATTTCATAGTTAATCTTTGTTCTGATACTATTATTAGGTACTGAAATAGTGCTTAAATAGTCATAAACACAGTGACAGGTGAACGTTTTTGCCAATCATAGTCACATACTATTGTTTAGAAATATACACATAGTATTTATAGGTCCCAGCAATGTTTTGGATGCATGAGAGTATATAATAATAATAATAATAATAATAATAATAATAATAATAATAATAATGAGAATAATAATAATGAGAATAATAATAATGAGAATAATAATAATAAGTTCCCTTGATGCTTGATATAAGTGTGTATCACTTGTCTTGTCTTATCTCTTCACTCCACTGCTGACACTAATGAGTTAATGAGAGTGGTGACATTTGATAAGCCTTCGATTTATTTGTTTTCACTCTTACACAAAAACATGTCTGTCTGTCTATCTGTGTTTATCTGTCTCAGAGAGTTACTCATGAACCAGCTGGTATGACACACGATCACGTTCTACAAGCATGGTATAGCACTTTGTCTGGATTTTTTGGATTATCCTAGGTAATTTACACTATGTATAATTGTATTTAATATGTGTTCCTGTGAGATAAAGACAGATATAGAGACAGAGATAGATACAGACGGAGATACAGACAGCCAATCAGCCAGCCAGCCTGCGGAAATTACAGTTCCAGAATTGTTTCTTTTTATTTAGGGCATAGGATATAGGACATTATGGCAGGATGACACTTTCCTCTTAAAAGGGGGGTGTTAATAAGACATGACATCAGTGAATCCTTGATGTTTGCTGCACAGTATGCTCTGGCTGGCGCTCAATGGAACTGGTGCTTCTATAGGGTACTAAGTGGTCTCAGATTTTTTTAATACAACGCACACCGAGGGTAAAGACCCATTCTGTGCTGACCAGGCATCGTAGGCCAATTGTGCCAAATTTGGAGGTAGGGAAAATAAAACGTATATGTTTGGAGCGCTAGCTGTAAGAATGTAGATCTACGTTTGGACAGTTAAGGGGTTAATGATATGAAGAGTACTGCATTATTGTAATAACTGCAAATCAGCACATTCATGAACACATATGAGACCCACCAGTTGACGTGTATTGAACATGTGACACGAGTTGTTTACTCTTGAACATTGTCAAAATTCAGACATTTCGGCTATTTTGAGCTCAGTTTCAAGCTTCTTTCGGTCTCGAAACCCATCAAAATCATCTCTGTTTCTGTAATATATCTTCCATTCTATCAAATGAGACCAAGAAAATGAGAATGCAACAATAAAAGTCATATGAAAATACACCACAGTTGTGTTTTTAAACCAAAAACATAGTCGGACTTTTTTTCTCATGCATTGCGTGCTGCAGGATTTTTCTTTATATGGTGCACACTTACCACATAGACCCATTCTCTTATATCCATGCCCAAATTTACTCCTCACAGCTTATCTGAGTGAGCTGAGCTTATGGCATTATACTGTGGGACCAACAGTGAAAGGGTTGAATGTATTTCATTCCCTCGTTATTGTATGACCATTATGGGTTTTGTGCTTTCCCATATGTGACATTTATTGTGGCAACGTTTCGCTCTCCAGGAGCTTTATCAAGCCATTACAAACAATACATGGACACAGAGGGTATATAAAGGCTCAGAGTGAGGTGCAATACTAGTGAGGTAACATTTTGATGCTCACTGGTGGTAGTAGTAGTAGTAGTGGTGGTAGTGACAAAAGTAATACAATATGGTAGAGCAATTAATTCGTACATGAGTAAAAGGATATAAAAGCTATTACTTGGGTAACATAAAAATAGGTTGGAAAAAATATAGACTGGAAAGAGGCAGGTTGTTTCAGTGTTCACTCTCTGTAATGTGCTTTGTGTAGTATAACAGGAGAGACTATGTGATGGCAGGGTTTACTGTTTTCAGGAGGATTCTTACTAAGACTTCTGAGATGGTGAAGCTGCCGTTGTTTTGTTTAATTGTATTCGAAACAGCGATCAGTGCTGATTCGAGGCACTTGCGTCTGCGGAAATTAGTTTCTTTGATCGCTGTTTCGAATACAATTAAACAAAACAACGGCAGCTTCACCATCTCCGAAGTCTCAGCAAGAATCCTCCTGAAAACAGTAAACCCTGCCATCACATAGTCTCTCCTGTTATACTACACAAAGCACATTACAGAGAGTGAACACTGAAACAACCTGCCTCTTTCCAGTCTATATTTTTTCCAACCTATTTTTATGTTACCCAAGTAATAGCTTTTATATCCTTTTACTCATGTACGGATTAATTGCTCTACCATATTGTACTACTACTACTACTACTACTACTACTACTACTACTACTACTACTACTACTACTACTACTACTACTACTACTACTACTACTACTACTACTACTATACTACTACTACTACTACTACTACTACTACTACTACTACTACTACTACTACTACTACTACTACTACTACTACTACTACTACTACTACTACTACTACTACTACTACTACTACTACTACTACTACTACTACTACTACTACTACTACTACTACTACTACTACTACTACTACTACTACTACTACTACTACTACTACTACTACTACTACTACTACTACTACTACTACTACTACTACTACTACTACTACTACTACTACTACTATACTACTACTACTACTACTACTACTACTACCACCACCACCACCACCACCACCACCACCACCACCACCACTACTACTGAACATCGAAATGTTACCTCACTAGTATTGCACCTCACTCTGAGCCTTTATATACCCTCTGTGTCCATGTATTGTTTGTAATGGCTTGATAAAGCTCCTGGAGAGCGAAACGTTGCCACAATAAATGTCACATTAGTTGCACTTGTGTCCTTTTACTTTACATATTGTCGGTAATTCTACCAACTTTATTACATTAAAAACATTATATATTCTTTCAGGACTGGAGTGTACGATACGAGCAGGACGAACCCGTACAGCCTCGTCATGAAGTCAATGCTCCCGACCTTTACATCCCCTTGATGGCTGTAGTTACCTACATCCTGGTAGCTGGACTTTGCTTAGGCCTACAGGAGAGGTCAGATTATTTTTTCTTTAATTATTATAAGGTTTTAATTAACATGGGCTCAACAACACTTTTTCATTAAAGCACACATTCTCTTTGGAAGAATGGAAGACCAATATGGCATGTCTTATACAGTAGGGCCCCGCTTTATGGCGTTCCGCTAATGAGGTCATTTCAAATTATGACCAAAACTCTATACAGCTCCCCCCACCTGACTTTCTAATACGGTCACCGTGCCCCACCCGGTTTGTTTACATTCTCCGTGAGATCCGTAAGCACTAAATCTCTCCATTATGTCTGGAAACTCCAAAATTTCAAGTGTTTTTAAAAGTTATTTCATATTTTATATATACTCTGATAATTATACTTATGTATACCTGTACTTAAATTAACTTACATACTGTGCTGGCATGCAGGTACACATTAAAATCAGTAAGAGTGTCTTATGTCTCGAGACATCATATTAGTAATGATAATAATAATCACCGAGTCTCATTAAATGTCGTATATTACGTTAATATACATATTTTCATTAATCCATCTATGATATTTTTTCAAAATTATGTAATAAATGCGATGCATAGCGTATAAAGATGATAAATACACCCCACAGTAGAATAAATAAACATAAATATTAGATGTGGTAGCCAGACGACTTGCACAAGTGACGCCATATAAGAAATCATAATAATAATAATAATAATCATCACCGAGTCATTAAATGTCGTATATTACGTTAATATACACATTTTCATTAACCCTTTCTGGGTCCAAGGCCAAAATCTGAAGTGGTGCCCCAGTGTCCAAGAATTTTCAAAAAAAAAAAAATTTTATTTTTTCTCATGAAATGGTACAGAATCTTTTTGTGAATGTAATAAAACAAAAAGTATGAAATTTGATGGAAAATTGACGAAATTATGCTCTCGTGAATTTTGCTGTGTCAGCGATATTTACGAATCAGCGATTTTGCCGACTTTGACTCCCATTTTAGGCCAATTACATTATTCCAGTCGACCAAATTCTCAGCTATTTCACTAGTATTACTTCTATTCTATCGATTGAGCACAAGAAATCGCCAAGTCAACTGTTTCAACTACAAAATAAAGTGACCGGAAATTGGTAATTTGGCCAATTTAACACAAAGTTCAAAATATTCCAATTTCAAAATAGGGTCCAGAATAAACAATGTAGGTATTCCTGGCACTAAACTAACATTTCCTCTGTTCATTAGTTATGTTTTGAGGCTTTACAAATAAATTCCATTTTGATTTTTTATTCACATAATGAATTTTTATTCACACCAAAAAATAGAAGATTTACTGTTATGCAATATTGTAATAATTGTATAAATATCATCACCACATTTGTGAATGTATATTAGACCCACCAGCTGGCGTGTATTAGACGTGTGAGGTCGTTTGTTTACTCTTGAACATCGGCAAAAATTTAACATTTCTGCCACTTTGAGCTCAATTTCAAGCCATTTCCAGTGCTAACACCAATCAAAATTATCTCTATTTCTGTAATATGTCTTCCATTCTATCAAATGAGACCAAGAAATCACAAATACAACTGTAAAAAACATACGAGAAAACACTGCAAAGTCGCTGTTTTAATCGAAAATCATGGTCTCAGTTTTTTTTCTCTCATTATACACAGTGTGCTGCAGGATTTGTTTTATGTGGTGCACACATACCACTTAGATGTATTCTCTCATATCTAGGCCCAAATTTACCACTCACAGTTTATCAGAGTGAGCTGAGCTCATGACGTAGATCTACGGTTTGGACCCTGAACGTAAAGCCGGAGATCTACGGGACGGACCCTGAAAGGGTTAATCCATCCATGATACTTTTTCAAAATTATATAATAAACACGATGCATAACATACAAAGATGAAAAATACACCCCACAATAGAATAAACATAAATATGAGATGCGGTAGCCAGACTTTTATGAGTGACGGCAAGAATAACATTTTCTCTAGTCCAACATCAGAGAAAATATGTTACTGGGGATAACTGTAGAAAATTATTCCTTTCATATGTATGTAAGTAAGTTTATTCAGGTATACACAAATACAGTTACATAGATTATCATACATAACAGCATATGTGTAGAGAACCTAGGATAACCCATAAAAGTCAGACAGAGTGACTTATTTCCATTGCCTTCACTAAGAGCATCATTTCTTCTAAAAATGGTGTAACATGAGAATGGGAGTGTTTTTCTTTATTTATTCTACCGTATCAATGTAGAGACAACTTGTACACAATGTAACTTGTACACAAACCAGACATGTACACTTTGTTTACAAAACTTGCATTCGCCTGGTTTGTTTACATAACTCTGCGCCTGTCCTCCCTCATGTACTCATTCTCTCTTTCTCTTTCATTTATTCGTTTTATCATGTTTACTCACCCCTGACCCTACATTAACCCTTTGACTGTTTTCGACGTATAAATACGTCTTACGAGCCAATGTTTCTGACGTATATATACTCAATAATTCTAGCGGCTTCAAATCAAGTGGGAGAAAGCTGGTAGGCCCACATGTGAGAGAATGGGTCTGTGTGGTCAGTGTGCACCACATAAAAAAAATCCTGCAGCACACATTGCGTAATGAGAAAAAAAAAACTCTGATCGATTTTTTGGAATAAAACGCCGACTTTGAGGTGTATTTTCGTATAGTATTTATCGTTGTATTCACGTTTTCATGGTCTTAGGTGATAAAATGGAAAACATATTACAGAAATAGAGATGATTTTCATTACTTTTACGATGAAAACGACCTTGAAACTAAGCTCAAAGTAGCGAAAATGTTCGATTTTTACCAATGTTGAAGAGTAAATAAATCACACCACACGTCCAATACACGTCAACTAGGGAGTCTAATATTCTTTCACTAGTGCACTGATATTATTTATACCATTTTTGCAATAATGCAGTCGTCTGCATAACAGTAAATTTTGTATTTTTTTGTATGAATAAAAAATCAAAATAGAAAGCAATAATAATATAAGAGGGGCCTAGAGATGTGACTAATGAACAGAGCATATGTTATTTTAGTGCCACGAATGTCTACCTTGTTTATTCTGGACCCTATTTTGAAATTGGCATCTTTTTTATTTTGCGTGAAATTGGCCAAATTGCCAATTTCTGACCACCATATTGGGTAGTCCAAATTAGTAAATGGGAGGTTTCTTGTACTCAGCTGATAGATAAAATGGAGTTCTAAAGAAATAGCTATGAGTTTGGTCAACTGGAACAATGGAATTGGCTGAAAATTGGGCTCAAAGTCGGCGAAATCGCCGATACGCATATGTCGCCGAGACCGCTAACTTCGCGGGACCATAATTCCACGAGTTTTCGACCAAATTTCGAACTTTTGGTGTCATTACCATCGGGAAAAGATTCTCTATCATTTCATAAGAAAAAATAATTTTTTTTTTTTTTCAAAAATTGAGCGACATAGAATGAGAGTTTCAGAGAGGGGCCTGAAACAGTCAAAGGGTTAAGACTACAAATATTTTAAGGTAAGTAATGAGTGCACTATGTGTGTATTTTACTTTTTTATTGTTTTTTGATGCCTAGTTCTATTGCTAACTTAATATATGTTAGTGTAAATTTGTTATCTAGTATTTGTATGCATTTATAAGGGGAAAAGAAGGGTGTTCCACTTTACGGCGGTAGCCTGGAACCTAACCTGCTGTATAATTGGGGCCCTACTGTATTTGCAGGAAAAAAAAAACATCATCCCACTTTGCATGCTAGATCACCTTAGAAGACACTGTGTGATGTTACCCTTCCGCCTCGCGATTAGCCTGCAAGCACGGTCATGGTTTTAGGGAAAGATCTAGTGTCACCCCTTGATGTAGGCAACATCGACACTGCAATTGCCTCGTAGACGCATACCATACCTCCCTCAGTCATGGGTTTTTCAGTCATATTTGAATCTTTTAGCCTTTTCAGTGTTGCAACCCTTGAAATTAAGTGCTGTCAGTGCTGCAGTTTAAAAAAAAAAAATGAAAAAATACAGTAAGGCCCCGCTTGACGGCGTTTTGCCTTACAGCGTTCTGCTAATACGGCGATGTCAAATTATGACCAAAATTTGCTATACGGCAAGCATCTTTCAAATACGGCGCCCCCCCCCACCCGGTTTGTTTACATTTTCTGTGACCACATCAATTATGTCAGGAAACTTTCCAAAATTTCAAGTGTTTTAAAGTTACTGCATATTTTATATGTGCTCTGATAATTATACTTATGTGTACCTGTACCTAAATATACTTACACACTGATGGTGTGCAGGTACACATTAAAATCTCTAAGTCTCTCTCTACTCATGACGCCAATACTACGTAATAATAATCACTCTTGGGCACACTAAATGTCTTATTTTACATCAATATACGCATTTTCATTAATCCATCTATGATATTTTCCTCAAAATTATATATGAAACCCATTAAATAGCATATAAACATGATACATACACTCACAACAAAAATTGATATAAATATGCGATTTGTTTACAAAGCAGCTGTGTAGGTAGTGTCGGAAGAATTACGTTTTCTCTAATCAAACACTGGGGGATAACTGTAGAAAAATATTCTTTTCGTATGCCTTTACTCTATATATAGCAATTCACGACCCTTGTGGGTTTAGTGCTTTTTATAATAATAATGATAATATTATTATTAATAATGATATTATTATTATTATTATTATTATTATCTTTACTCTAAAAATGGTGTGTTGCTGTTTGTTTATTCTGAACTAACTTGTACACAATGTAAGAGTATTTGTATTGTGAGGTAATTATTATTATAAAAAAAATATTGAGGTAAATGTTTTACAAACTCTTACAAACCTACGTGAATGAACTAAAAGTAGACACATATTAATACTCATTTATTTCGCCTGACCAAGTGATCGCCCACTACCTGTTCAGTTTGTGTTCTTACATTGTCTCAACTCTGTATCTCGTTCTCTCTCTCGTTTACTCTTTCG